CCTCCTCCTCCTCCTCCTCCTCCTCCTCCTCCTCCTCCCCCCCTCCTCCTCCTATCCCTCCTCCTGTGTTACGTTAGAGCAACCTGAGCGTAAAGCTGTGGCGTTGGTCTGACTCCTCGTCCACCTCATTCTCCTCATCCTCCTCCGTATCTTCGCTATGTTCCTTGTCATTGTCACTGGGCTTCTTGTCCACACTCCGAGGCGCTTGGTCCTCCTCATCGACATGACTACCGCCAGCTGATTCAGCGTCATCCTAGGCCTCGTCGTCGTCCACTTCCTCGACCCTTCTCTCGAAGTCGCTATTCTAAGTGTTACCCTCTCTCTCTCGGCTCGCTCCTGGACCTGCAGACGATGATGATGATGATGATGATGATTATGATGATGATGACGATGATGATGATGATGATGATGATGATGATGATGATGATGATGATGATGATGATGATGATGATGATGATGAGAATGATGATGATGCTTATGATGCTGCTGGTGGTGATGATGATGGTGGTGATGATGATGCTGCTGCTGATGATGGTGGTGGTGATGATGATGATAATGATGAGGATGATGATGATGATGATGGTGATGATGATGATGATGATGATGATGATGATGATGATGATGATGATGTTTCGTGTGCACGCGCAGGATTAGGAGAAATTGGGGCAGAGACACATTTGAGCATGTCCGTCCGAGGCCCATACAGAGAACGAACCTTACTGCGCCCTCCTCCGTGGATGCAAAGGCGCAGGGACAGCGACACGCGACAGTGCGGCCGACACGGGCGCGACGCTGGCAGGGGGAGTCGATGAGGCAGGCCACATGCAGAGGTTAGGGAGGAAAATCAGATCAAGGAAAGAGGGAGGAAGAGAATACGAGGACCATCAAAAAGACTGGTCGGTGTCGATCTTGATCATGGTCCATGGCCGTCAATTCGTCGATCGTCCTTGCGAATCGGCGACGGCCAGCATGGACAATGACCAAGATCACCGTCAACTACGGCTAGGCCACGCGAGACCTTGGTCATGGTCATCGTGTTTTCCCTGGTCGAGGAAAACCAATCACACGCGAAGAGGAATACAGGGCAGTGAAACTACTTGTGCAATCAGACTTCGGATCACACCCGGTTCTCGGCGCCGTCTGTCTCGGCAAGGAAGACCCCCTCGTCTGCGGAGAGCAGAACCCTGTGGCCGCATGCGCACACGAAGTACGGGAAACCGAGAAAAAATGTTGCCTCTGGCACACGAAGTGTGCGAAGGCAATTTCCAACGTCATCCCAGAAATGGACGACGCCATCCGCACTCATGCTGACGATAGTCCTGTCATCCTGCGCATCCACTGCAAGGATCTCAGCATTGTGCCCTCGCAGAGTCCCTCGAACCTGTTTCTTGCGAATGTCGTAGATATACAGAGAACTGGCGATCACATATACAAGGTAATCCTTTGGCTACACGCAAGAGTGACGCTGGGTGAGAGTGACATTTGGTGCGCAGCCTTTTGGGGGCCGCGGGATGGCTGAACCTGGACGCACAAGCCGCTGCCACCGCCTCGCGTTCGGCGATCGGGGGACCCCAATTGGGCCCGCACCAAAGGTCACTCTGGCGACACTCTTACGTCCAGTCGAGATCCTGCCGCCACAGCTTGATGAGGGAGATCATACCAGCGTGTGGTATGGCGTCCACCTCTGTCTGGTCGTTGCGCTCCAGCTGAACCACACGGAAAACGGGCGGAGAGCCCAGGCTGGAGCGGTCGGCGACCACCAGGCTCTCGCCGTCGAAGTCGCAGGGCGCGACCTCGGAGGCGCTGCCAAAGTCCATGAGCTTGAACGCGCGGTGGTGGTGCCTCTCCAAGGCCACGCCAACGGCGATGTTGGTCAACGGCGATGTTGGGAATCTGTTTCTGGCGACACCGAACTCGCGCAGGACAGGCAGGTAGGAAAACACGAGCAGCGCTTTCCCACAACTGGGTTGGCCACGAACCACCCTCACCTGTAATGCCGAAACCTACATCGCCGCTGCCTACATCGCCGTTAGCGTGTCTGCGGCCTCTGCTCCACGATGTTCACCACGGTGGACGACATGGAGAACAGGACGCACACCCACGGCCCCCTCTGAAGCACGTGCTTGACGCTCTGCGCGCTCTTCCGGTCCAGCTGCGTGAACCTGATGGGCTCGACCGGGGACGCCGTGCTGAACCCCTGCTTCCAGATCTGGCACTTGTCCAGCAGCGTGCAGTAGCTCCGCTCGGCGTCCACGTGGAGGCCCCTCACGCCGTCCTCCGAGTAGCCCGCGAGCCTTTCCGGCTCCGGGGGGCTGCCGTGCCCCGCGAGCCTGAGCTGCCACACTCTGCCGAGCATCGACCCCGCCATGCACCCCGCATCGGATACCGAGATGCACGAGATGGGGTCCCCCACGTCCGTGGCCCAGAGAAACCGCGTCCGCGGCATCTCCCGGCAAGCCCACCCCAGCGCGGGCGGCCGTCGGGGGGCCTCGAGACTGCT